TCATTCAGGTACAGACCAATACTATGCAGCTCATCCAGATTCTCTATCAGGGGACTGCAAAGAAAGATCAGCGAGTCAACATCCTTGATATAGAACATCTGTCCTTTGAGCAGGATAGAACGTAGTCCTTGGGATGCACGACGTTGGCCTGTTGCCGGATCAATTTCCACCTCGCTGGTACCGTCATCCAGATCATCCACATTGTTGTCACTGAATTCTTGGGCCTTCGCCAGCGCCAACGCCTGGGCCTCGTTGAGGAGCATGTCATCGTAGTTCTCAAAGTCCATGTTGAGTACAGCATCATAAGCAAGTCGATTGTGTCCGGTACGGATCAGCTCGAACTCAAAGAGCACAGTGCGCATCTGGATCAAAGTGTCCCAGTCGATGGTGGTGTCCTTTGGTCGGCGACAATAAAAAAGGTTCGTGACGTGGGTGCCTATGAAAGCCTTAGGATTGGCACCCGGATTATGCATTATCCACGTCTCGACTACTTTCTCGCCCGCATGCGTTATTTTCATATCGTGATTGAGCACAAAAGTGAAAGGAAACAGCTCCAAGAACACATTCAGATCCACAGATGGCATCTTAACCTGTGACGGATGCGCCACAGTATTCACTCGCTTGGCCATGTACTCGGTATTATCGAAGTCCAGCCGATACTTAACTATGACAGTTAGAGGACCCTCTGTCAGTTTAATGGGTCCCGCGGTGCCGCCGCTTATGTCATTCTGGCTCTCAATCACGTAGGCCTTGATCTCCAGCCCATAGAACTCCCTTGCCACCTCCGTCATCTGGCCGATGAGGTATTTAGACATGCCCGTGCGTCCACTTCGATATAGGATAACCGCTCCACTGTCGTCCATGCTTGTCAGCTGCATGCTGGGCGACTTCATCTTGGGGTATGTGAAGCGCATAATCAGATGAATGTTGTCGATGGACTGCAGGAAATCGCAAAAGTAGCGACCCGTCGAACGTATCATCTTGTCATAGCCAAAATTGCTGAAGAATCGCACGAAACACTTCCCGAAGAAATTCATGCAAAAGTCAAAGGACTCGCCCGTACAGGCGGACAGGGCAGCCGCAATATCCGGCATCAACTTGTCCGGATATATCTGATGGGTCTTAAAGCTGTTGTGCTTGCAGTCGACAATGCGACAAACCTTTCTCCATACGTCCTTGCCGTATTCTTCCTGCACATAGTGCTGGACACTCTCATACAACATTCCATACATTATTCAGAAGGTTCTGAGGTAGCCAAAATCATGATATTGGGAATGAAATAAGATAAGAGCTTTGAATTAGTGTGCTGATAATTTCTATGAGTTGTTCCTAGATGAACAAATGCTGTTACGCACATAATTTAATATTTTAAAAGTTAGCAAGATTTTAACAAAGAAGAGGTTGATTTCATGGTCTTTTTTACTTCTTTTAGTTTTTTAATTTTGATTTTGTTTGACTTTAAAACGGAAAATATGGAAACTCCTATTGAAAATTTCTTTTATATTTCGAGTTGGCTTATCGATCGGTTATGTTCTTAATTTTTTCTAAGCATCCAGTTTTAGGAATATTTCTAATACGAGTTATGGAATTCAATGGATTTTGGATTAAACATTGTAATTAATTAATCATCATTTACATATTTTAATAAATTTATAAAAGTTTATCTCGATTTCAATATTCAAAACATTAATATATATTTAGTAGACTGCTTTGAAATTCCGTATAATTAATTAGCATACCTTTAGACTCGCTTTTGGCCCCGGTCTGCGTTAAATGAGCAACAGGCAACAGGCTTGGGGTTTAAATTGAATTAAATTTCCGATCCCCTTTCACTTTTCAACTGTTTGTAGTTTTGCACGCATTTCCCAGCGGCATTTATTTATTTATGAAGCGGACGGAATGTAATTTGCCACAGCACAGGAAAACCCAAAAAATATTTTTTTTGCAGGCTCCGCTTTTTGTATGCCGGAAGAAGTTCTCGTTGTGATTTTATGTTTATATATATGTTTATAAGTGTAATTGGGTGTTCGTACTCCGCGTGTTTGCGCCCTGCGAATGAAGCTCGGGTCTGAGCTGCACACGACTTTTATAGCCAGCTGCCCGATACATCATGCGCCCCATTCGGAAACCCTTTCGGGTGCTTCTTCTGCTCCGCCCCGCTTAACTATCAACGGTGGTGCCATGCCCTTTGCCTCGACTACTCGTTGACAATGTTTCATTACATGTCATTGCTCCTTGTTGATGCCAATTGACGCTTGCTAAGTCGATAAAGTACCCTCAATGAAGTATCCTTTCCCTATTTTTATTGCTTTCACAACAATAATTCACACGCACAAAATGCGTTCTTTGCATTCTTATCTATGTATATACTGTTTTGTAAGGGGTTAAGCACGGCTGGTTGGGGTTTCTCTTTGGCATTTAAGCAGTTCATAATATCGAACGTTTCCTTGTATTTTAGTATGCGTGCTATATGCATTGTGAGCTTAAATATATCTCGTTAGATAGATAGATAGATATACGCAATGAAGAGAAATGAATCTTATATTCTTAAACCTCTCTATGAAATATACAAGAAATGGGTTTACTTACACTAGAAGGTATTCTGAGGTATCCCAAATCGAAAGTGTTAAAATTCACAGACTGACATACAGTCATTCGGACGGACAGGCGATATCCAAACGGACGAGCATGGGTAGATCAACGCGATTAGCCGTCTTGGTACGTAGTCAATCACATCTCCTTCTACCTTTTACATACGTTTGACCAAAAAGATTTGAATCAATTAAATCCCATTATTTAGATGTTTTACTAACATAGGTATGTGGACAAAGGCCTTTCATATAAATGGACTTATTTTATAAAAGCTTTTTGTTTGCTGGCAATCAATTTGATGTTTAAGGATTCCATTGCAGAAGGACGAATAACATTAAATCACAGCAGACAGAAAAGTCTACGTATGGGAGCCGAAAACAAATGCTGACAGTTGATGACAACGGTTAAGCGCTTGAGGATGTTGTGCTATTTATATTAGCTGCCCGGAATGCTACACACCCAAACGCACGTACGCGCATACGAGGGTGGCCTGACAAATTTCCAAATAACTGAAATACAATTAATTTTTATACTATCCATAAGCTTATTGGCTTGATGCCTTAAATTAAATTTTTTTATTTATAAGCCTCTCCTGCTTCCTATACCCGACATTCAGCTCGGGCATTTTCAGACTACCTGCTTATATACATTTTAGCGCTCGCACGTGACAGTGCAGTTAATTAAAACCCTTACCCTTAGCTGAGTGGTCCCAACCCTTTGCTTGACATCGATTGGCCAAACAAGAGCGCATAATAATAAATAAACGCTTTCGTAGTAATCATGATTGATGTTACAAATAAGCTTGCATTTATCGTGACAAATGCACCCGATTTGGATATTTATACATATATTTATGAATACAAAATGTTCTTTAGATTAGCTTTCAGTGCAGTTTATTTGCCCAAGCCGACTTTGTTGAAGAGCTTGTCCTTGACAATTTGGGCCATCAGACCGTGGATTAGCTCGATTGTGGAGCGGCTGCAATCCCGCGTTGCCTTGGATAGCTTATCCTCGGATCTCTTCTCATTGACATCGGTGCCTGTGGAAAGATAACATTTTTTTATTATAAAAGGCGAAATCATGATCTTTTTACATAAACCAAGTGTATGTACCGCGACCTAAGAAGTTTTCACTTTGCTCCAGCTTTTCGGACAGGTCCATGATCTGGCCGGTGGTGTATTCCGTGTTGGTTAAAAGACCTGAGCTGCCTAGTGTATTCACCCAGTACTTGTTCCACAATGAGTCTAGCAGCTTGCGATCCAAGTCCGATTTGAAATAGCTTATCTCCAGCGGATAGTATTGCTTGCAGTGCACACCAAAGTCCTCAATCTTGTTGAGCGGGATCGTTTGATACTCCGATGGTTCTTCGTTGGGTGGCTTGTACCCCTTGGGATATGTGCGAAAGGCACCAAGGCACACCTTGCCAGCAGACACAGTGCGCACCGGATCTACAACAATAGCCACAAAGGGCTCCTGGTAGGTTTGATTGAGCATCTGGGTGGACACATCGATGCCGGACAGCCAGCAGCCGTAGCCTGGATGACTGTGATACCAGCCAACAGCGTGCTCAAGTCGTCCAACTTCCTTGGCTGCCTCCATGTAAGCGGTCATGTACTCATAGGCTTGGGCCTGGGCATTAACCCTCGTCTCTGTTCCCTCCACGGGCAGTGCAAAGGCATCCATCACAATCTGCAAATTCACTGCTTTACACGCGAACTGATTTTCAACTAGTATAGTTTACCATAGTGTTGTCCTCCACTTTGCCCAGCATTAGACCCATCACCTCCAACGTGCCACCGGAGCGGGCGTGCATAACCATCTTGAGCAGTGCTAGAGCCGAGATCTTAATATCCTTAAAGAAATGCGGATCCTTTTCCCAGGGCTTAGCGTCAATTATTTGTCGCTGTTGCTCGGCATCGTAACGAAAGATTTCATCGCAGCTGGGCAATGTTTGTATGTTATTTTCCAGCTCCCATTTCTTTTGCGCAGCATCAACATCCATTTTGTAATTTTATTTATTTTATTTTATTCGCCCGGCTCGAAGTTTATTGGTGTTTGTCCTCAAAAGGAAATGTTAGTGAATACAGTGAATCTGTCCAAGGTGGCAACACTATGTAGCTCAGCAGGCGTGCTTATGCGTTACCAGTAGTCAATTCTGCTGACATTTACGTTAGCAGCTTCTGATAATAACAGCGGCTGTTGCGTTAACAGTGATATTATTTGCGTCACTATACTCTTTCACTATACAAGTTTACAGTTCCAGTATTCAGATAAAAAGCTTCTAGTTGGAAATAAATGAGAATGTTCATTTCATTAGTTTTTAAATATGATACATTTTATTGATTAAAGTATACAAATATTATTTGCTTAAGGTGTGTGAATCAACTTCACATTCATAAAGTCGCAATAATTCTAAAATATTATAGTTGCAGGAAGAAGTTATGGAAAAATTCAATAACTCTTCGAACTCTTGAAATAGTGCGCGATCTTAAATAATTATAAGCCAAACGAAATTTGCTTTGCTGCACCTGTTGAAGGCGGTCATCCACCGAGCTCAAGCACACAAACTGATAGAAGACGACTCTTTCATTTTCCTGGCTCAGTCGATAGATGAGACTTTCCACTTCCAGGTTCGAATTCCAGTGCAAGTCCATATTCATCAGATATTTGGCTCCGTCTAAATTTAAATTACTTTCTGCCAACTTCGACGAGAGCAGCAGAACGCAAGGCCGAAGGGATTCGTTAAAATCTCTAACGATCTTACTGATATTTTTTTGCGGTGTTATGCCAGTTAGCATCATGATCTCCAGTTGCCTGTTGCTGTCGGTACCTAAATGAAATTTCAATATATCCAGCAGCTTTGTCGATTGCGATGCAACAATGATTTTGCTATTTGTATGCAGTACGCATTGATTGATAGTTTCAATAGCTTTTCGAATTTTCGTTGATACATAGTCGAGGCGAAAGATTGGATTTTTCAGGCTTAGGACATTATCATCGGAGGTGTCGCTGGCGTCGAAATTGCCTTGTGTACCGGACATATCCTGTTGAATTATTTTGAGCTACATTGCAAAACAAAATAAAGTATATACATATTCTTGGTTTTATAGACTCAGATTCTGACACTTACTGATCGGATTAGATATGGATGAGAGCACAGCAGTTGAAGTTCTTTCACCTGGACAACGTCTATGATGGAACTCCCCTCACCTTCTTGATTCAATTTGTCACGAACTTTGTCATACAATATCCTTTCGTTAACATTAAGTTTTATTCTAATTTCCTCACGTCTTATCTGTGGAAATTGTTGAAGTTGTCCATTTCTCTGAAGATCAGATATTGTACGCCTTAAGCACAAGCGTCTATCCGTCACTATGGGATCGCGGCACACAAAACTGAGCAATGCCTTAAAATCATTTTCACTATTCTGTATTGGAGCCCCAGTCACAGCCCAACGAGAACGGCTCCGCAAAGCGCTTATTGATATTGAAAGTTGCGATCTCGTATTTTTTATGGCTTTGGCATCATCCAAGACGAGCCGACGCCAATTGATTGCAAAGAGGCGGTTGTTTGCTTTCCGATCATACGTCACGGTTTTATAGGTGGTGATCACAATGTCTTTGCCGTAGATACTATTGATGTCTCGGTCTCTGTCATAGAACTTGTAGACGTTCAGCCGATCACCTACCACATCTGTAATTCGCTTTATCCATTGGTCCAGGACAGTTTTTTCACATATTATCAGAGTTTCGGCATTATATTCTAAAAGAAATTAACATAAGGAGTAGAAAACTAGTAAAAAACTAGACTATTTAAATGCATTGATCATGATGAAGATTGCATGGCGACCTTTGTATCCTGTTTACCACACCCAATGGGTATTTCCAACAGTCGGCCCCATCAGCAGCATATATATATATATATTTATATAGACATACATACATATTTAAATTGGGATAAGAAGGAATGCTTTATTTGGGAGTGTCCGAGTCGAGATAAGCTAAAATGTTGCTCTGGTATCTTTTATAACTTTGTATGCGCATATGTATGTATGTGTATACAGACGCCAAACGCACACACACATACATGGGCACATCTTTGCCTTTCTTTAATATATTTTATGGGAGCTTTGTATTTTGAATTCCCATTTCAAGGTATACGAAATCTAAGATTACTCTGTAACTCACCTGAAGCTTCGGCTTTCTGATTCTCTTCTTTCTTTATAAGCAACCAGGCAATAATAGTCAACGTATTGTCCAATCCCCTCTCATCGGCTAGGATGCCACCAAATGGGCTCTCCCTCTCGCACATGTCCATCCAAGCGAGGGCATGTATATGATACTCGTTTAGTTCCACATTGACGCTGGATATTCTTCTGGTTAAAATCGAACTTCCGACTGATGAGTTATTCAGCTCCTCGATCACTTCCTAAATATAGAGAAATATTTCTTGAAAAAAATCTTTAAAAACATATTTTTGAAATTGTTACCTGGTTGTGCCTTATAAATAACGAATCACCCCAATTTGGAGGCATTTTAACTTAGTCAAACAATTAGTTAGGCAGAGAACAATTGCGGATGTGTACTGTTGGGGAAAACACAAGCACGAATGGTATCTCAGATACATGTATATTATATATATGTATATACTAATAAGAATTGCACATTCCAGTTATCACTCAAGAGCGTATAAGAGAGCATTAAGTTTGCGTTGAGTATAACAGGGCTGGTTACATTAATTAACAGTAGCTGCGATCACTGTTAACATAGAGAATTTACAATGTTAAGTTAACATTATCTGATAAATATAAGCCCGCGCAGTTGAATTCTGTTTTCTCTGAGAAATTCATTAAATTAATAAATTAATGCTTGTCGGGATTTTAGTAAAAATATTAATTTAGATATATTAACTTTCATAAGTGAAATGAAATGATTATTTCATTATTTTCAGGTTTTTATCACGGAATTTCCATTGAAACTCTTTATTCTCCAATACTTTAATTTGAAAATTTTAATTGTTATATTAGCTAATCTAATAACTTTGATGCTTAACATATGTTAGTTAGCGGATCATATGTTAATCTTGATGCCTAACATTAAGTAAACAGAATGCTTAACAACTTGGATGTTTAATTTTTGTGTTAAGCTTATGTTGACTTGGGAATTTGTCTTTTGGTATGTAAGTTCATGTTTTAAGTCTGTATATAACAGAACGTGATCTTATAGAACATTTACATACTTTCATGGAAATATATGTTACAGTAAATTCCAGATTTTGACGATTCATTACTAAAGATAATAAATGTATATTTTTGGAATATGATACGAATACACAATAATTAATTGACGAAATACATGTGACTAGGAGTAAATTAAGATATACATTTCAGTATTATTGTTTGTCTAATGCCTCCACAATTAGTTTCAAAATATTTCGCTTTAGCTCATCAGCTATATGTGGTTGTAGTTGGCACATTTGGTCGGCTATAAAGTTGCCAAAGATTTGTTGGGAATTGGGATTATGATCCCGCGCTTCAATTGCTATAGATCGATCGTGCAGTTCGGGTGCTTTAGCAGCAAAGGAGAACAAGCTGGAACAGGTGTCCAAATCATCCATCAAATGCACTGAAGGTGTACGCTTGATAGTAACCTCATCATTCGACTCGAGCTGTAACTGAGATTCAATTCATATAATGTATATGAATATATATGGGTATATATGTTTATATGGCTTACAGAATTGCCTTTGGACTTGCGTGGCTCGCAGACTTGATGTAAAAAGTGCAAGGGCTCGAAGTATTGCCATTTGATTTTCACGTTTTGAGTAGCCTTCGCTTGATAGCTTCTATATTGAGCTCGCAGATTGTCCCATTTGGCCTTGCAGTCGGCCAATGTGCGATCCAGTTTGCTGGCTATAATTCGAAATGCTTCTTCACGTAATTTGCCATCCTTGTGACTCGAGTTGCTTGGATCCCACAGCAAGTCGCGTTGTGCCACCAGCCGGATGAGCAAACGAACATCATTTGGTGTCCATTCTTGTTCGATTTTCCGCGTTCTCCTACAACGTTTTTTGGAACTCATCTATTAATAAATAATGTTTATAATATCGTGTTTCATTTATATTTTAATTTAAAGCACATTCTCAATATTTAATTACCCAATCACTAAATTGTTTATTTCTCGACTCCATTGCGCATATGACAGCTATCTGACACAGCGCTACCAGACTAATTTACCCACAGCTTACTATGGCAGCGACTGGCCATGTAGTTGCCAGATCTGTGATGCCAATTGTATGACAACAACTGGTTCTAACAATCATATGACAACATTTGCTAGCAAGAGTGCTGCCAGACTAGTTCATAGATAGTCATGGCTATGTTATGTTATTTGCTGTAATTGGGCTACTAGTTCTAATATACTGACTAAATTGGCTAACGTTAATTGAAACAACAGATGGCGCCACTAACATATTAACAGATTTCTTTCAATTACACATTTGTTTATTTTCATTTTGTAACCTTTTTTAATATTTTTTCATGTTTGTATATATAAATATATATATATATACATATACATACATATATAATCACATGTGCTGAATCATAGAATTGGAAACTTAAGGCCAATTGCATTAAATTGTACAATTGAGTAGGGAACTCGAATCAAACAATAATAAATACATACACACACTTCAATTAAACTTTGGCTAACTATTGCACGCCACTCGCTTGCTTGTTCTCTCTCAATATGTAGCTAATCTTACCAAGCACCAGGTGAAAGGTGGCGGAGGGTTCTTAACATTTAAGTCTCGTCAAAATGTTCTTTTTTTTTTATAATTAAACAACTTGCTGCTTGCTTGTTTTTTTGTTATTGAGCTGCCGCTGCTGCCGGTTGCTCTGGGGCATCTGGTCCGTCGTTGGGCTGCGCTTCGGGTTCAATCTGCTGCCCCTCGCCGCCCCATAAGAAACCACCAGGACGATCTTCGGCGGCTGCTTGATAATTGCGTTCAATGTGTTCGTTAAAAAGTCTTTTCCTGCGAGAAACAAAGATAAAGATAAATAAATGTAAACTAAAGTTCAACAATAAATATTACAGAAAATACGGCGTCTTGATCAGTCGGAAGCCGTTTGATAGGTGGGGATAAACATCTTCTAGCACATAGTAGATGTGACCAACGCCCATGCCAATGATATCCACCCATATGGTATTTCCCAATATCATGGAGCAGCACAGCAATACCCAAGGCAGATACGGCGCCTGCATAGATAGTAAGTATATAGAATAGAATATATAATATATAGAGTATACTATATAATTGAAATCAAATTTTTTTATATTTACTTGAAAGTTGAGCACACCGAAAAAGTTCATGGGCACCAAAGGATTTCGCCTGGACCACACATAGACCAGCATTAAGGTGAATGCCTGGCCGAGAAACAGCAAATTGACAAAGATGCCAAAGAATGTCATCAGCACGCCGCCAAATACGAACATCATAACAAAATCGGAGCTGCGACCGCGAAAGGAGCCGTCCTCCAGCATGCGACAATAGCGATATGTGAATATCATATTAAAAAAGAAACTGATACCTATGGTGCCAAAATATAGGAATGTGGTGGCCAGACGCCAAATTTGAAATTTTCGCACAATCAGTGTGGGGTTAAAGTATAGCTGAAGCGGCGACACTAGATCCAAGTGCTAGCAAATAACAGATAAAAGAAAAAGACAATATATGCAGATTACAGTACACGTCAGCGCGGTTTCGAATAGAATTATTTGTAAATATAAAGGACTTACCACTGCCAATGTTGTGAGCACACAGACTGTGGTGTACGCCCGTGTTACTATGGGCACTTCCATATAGAACTGTCGCATGGCATTCATCCTGGAGCTCTCTTTATGGCTGGGAAAGTGTTCAAAGTTAAATTGAAATTTGGTTGTTTTTGTGCGTGTTGTTGTAGATGGGCGCTCTGGCAGCGCTTGCCTTCACATTTGCTGCGGTTATATGGGTGAGGCTATTAGGTCCAGCTACCAGAACAACTTGTAGATGTGGGCTTCACAATTAATATTATTGTTGTATTTATTTTATTTTGCTAGGTTTTAGAGCGATAGAAAATAAAATAGTTATCGTTTATCGTTATGCACACTTATCGCATGAGTGTAACTGACTATCAGCTGGCTAATTAGTTTTTGAGTAATTTAGTATATTGCTTAAAGTTCATATTATATTTTTATTTCTATTATCACACCAGGTGTGAATTGCCAACCTTAACTTGTATAACTAAGAAATGTGAAGTATTCAACTAAGGAATACCACAAGGGAAATAATATCAAACGAAGGTAGCAGTGCAAAGTATATCGATAGACTTACACTCACTCACGAATAATCATCGATACATCAGCGGTCATTATTCTTATCGCCTGCAAAAGTACTGGTCGCCATTATCGATTTGTGGCAAAAAAAAGAAGAAAAAAATAGAGAATTAAAGATCGCGTTACAGCGTTACGCACCGGCTAGAGAGCGCATTGAACGCGACGTAAAAAATAATTTGTGCAGAAAATAAAACTGATGAGCAATTTGTGGTGCGCAACCTAGTCGTGTTTTATTTTCGTTGAGCATTTGCCACAACAACTAATCAATATCAATACGTCTCCCTGCCTCTGAGTGTACGTGTGTGTGTGCGTGTACTTGCCTGTGTCACAGTGTATGCGTGTGTGTGTGTGCTGTTTGGTCCATTCTTTGGTGCACATAATCAAATTAGATTGGATATATAACTAGTGTTAATTAAGAGGAAACAACAACAATAAACACAGCTTCATCATGACTATGGCTGGGCAAACAATCAACGACAGGCTGCTGGCTGCTCGTCACAGCCTTGCGGGCCAAGGACTCGCCAAATCAGTGTGCAAGGCCACAACTGAGGAATGCATCGGACCGAAGAAGAAGCATTTAGATTGTAAGTGCAATGCACAACGAATACAAAAAACCACACAACTTTTGACCGAATATGTTAGTAAATGAGAAAAATAACGGTTAACACACACTCACACACACACACAAAAATGTCAACATTTTGCCATTCATTCAGTTTCACAAAGAAACAATTTGCTCTCTTCTCTCCTTGAAGGCAGCTTTTTTTGGGGACTTGTAACGTTACATTTGTATGTGTGTGTCTTGAGAGAGTTTTTCAATGTTTTATCTTGCATGTATCGCTATTCCAATTACTGTAAAATATTATCATGTTGTGCATATTTTACTGTGCTTAGTTACTCACTGAAATATGCCATTGCAGACGTCTCGTTTCTTCGCATTTCACGCCCACTCTCTAAATATAAAAATTTTTTTTGCAATGCACCTGATGCCTCGCCTCAGCTGCTGTTTGTAGTCTTTCCTTTTGAATGCTTCGTCATTCGCTCTCACTGGTCTAGGCCTCTCTTTCTAATGTTACGTCACTTTCTCATGGCTGCACGTGTGTATGATTTACAATAAGCGCTTGAGTATGTGTAACATCATTTGATATTATATTTGTTGTCGTTGTTTTTGTTGGAGTATGTGCCGTTTCAACGATGTCATTGCCTTTTAAATTTATTCATAATCTGTAGATAACAACAAAAACTACAGCAGCGATTGCAAGAAATATTAGGCTTGTATGTTTTACTTTACTTTTCTGATTGGCTAAACAAAGTGATCTTTTGTGCCGTCTTATTGGATTCGGGTTGACTTTTTGCTTTTGCTGCTGTTTTCAGATGTGTATAGGTGTGTATATGTGTGCATTTGCTTTGACCTGCTTCTTATTTAAGTTTGCCGTTTCTTTGCAACTTTGTTGTCCAATAAGCGCGAAATGAGTCACGAAAAATTTTGGGTTATACTAAGTACCGTTGGAAAATACATACAAACCTACAGACATATGCTTCTGTACGAACATAATTATATACAATTACATTACATATGTTGAGTATCTTTGGAAATGATGGGGACTTGTCATATAATGACCATATATTTCCCATATATGCGATATAACTTTACTGGAAATTACTGTGCGGGCATTTGTATGGGTATGTGTTTGTTATTATAATTAAGGAATCAAAAATAAATCAAACTAGCTTGCGGTCATTGCGCATATACGCAAAGGTTGCCCGCGTCATGCTTCAGCTCCAAACAAAAGATTGGCCACGCTGACCCAACTAGAATTCATTTCCAATCAGAGCAAAGTATGCAGTTCACTAAAATTTTTTTTTGCTGTTTTGGCTTTAAATTGATATTTCTAAAAGAGTAACTTGTTGATATGTGCAATCAACTAGTCCGCTTTGGGTTGCAATTGGTATTTGCACATCGTAATAAGTTAATTAGCTGGTTTGTTTAAAAGAGATTTCAAGAAGTCAGATTTGGTTCCAATCAGAGCCAGCGAACCTGTGCTCTGGCGCAGGCTAAATAAAGAAGTTTGAAAATGAAACCAAAGCCAATCAAAAATAAAAAAGAAGGCCATTAAAAGACGCACATCAGCTACAACTTAGAAATTAAGAAAGAGAGAAAGAAAACCTGTTCTCCGATTACATTTTGCTCATAGTAGGTAGAATGTAATTTATTTATATGCACGATTCATTTCTCTCATTTGCCCTTTTAGCCGTTCTTTCTTTACTAATAAGTACAAATAAAACTGTGAATGAAACCAGTTGGGAATTCGAAGAAACGCAGAGGAAAAAAGCCGTCTAGGCTGTCCTGTGGAACACCTGCATACAAGTTCAATTAACACTAATATCTCGGCATTGCAGGTGTTGTAAAGCGTTAAGAAAATGTGTGCTTCGAACTGGAAATATTCAAACAAAAAATAATTGAAGAAAATAAATTCAGTTCTTGAACTAAATTAAAATGTGTCAATGGGTTTTTTGAGAGGATCCTAGATACTTAATCTTATATGTTGGACATAACTGTGTCTATATTGTAACCCTCAACTAAATTTAGGTGTGCAGTAAAAAAAGTCTTAATGACTTGCATAAAGTTTTTTTCGAGATGAAAGCTGTTTTAGTTATTAAACTTGCTGAGCAATAATACTAATATGAGAACATTTTTAGACTGGACTTGTTTGGATTATAGTTTTAAAAAACAATAAATAATTCAGTTGAGCGTTAATTTAAGGAATATAAAATAAAATTACCATATGTGTATGTTCTCGTATTTATTCCAATTTATGTACATATATACGAATATCAATTATTGAATTCAATCAATTTCATATTACATCTATGTGTATGTGTGTGTGTTTGTGTAAGCAATCAACGAGTGCATTTGAGTCGAGTTTTTAAATCATCTGCCCATATGTATGTAAATATACGCCCCTCTTTAAATGGCGATAACAAACTGTTGGGGGAAAAGCAGCATGATGATACTTATATAATATCTACAATATATATGCATATATATAATGTCATGTGTACTGTAGGGCGTTTGCTCCAGAGACAAAAGCTTATCTCAATTTGAATGCATTGCGGGACTTTAGAGGCGGCATAAAATGTCGTCTGTGCAGAGCTGAGAATGATAAGAACATTGCAACGAACAGTGGATAGGCCACATAAGTCGGTTTCAAAAAGTTGATAACACCAAATATTTATGAACAGTAAACTCAGCCTTCAACGAACATCGAAGACATTTCGCATTTGGTCAAATTTTCTTCTGATTGAACAACACTTAATTGAAAGCCAGCTTCACTGTGTTCATACTAATTTGGAATAATTTAAAGCATTTTAATTTTAAATTCATTTGCCTTTACTTATCTTTGCAGATTTGGTGCACTGCACAAACGAACCCAATGTCTCGATACCTCATTTGGCCAACTTACTTATCGAGCGCTCGCAGAATGCCAACTGGGTGGTCGTCTATAAATCGCTGATAACCACACATCATTTGATGGCATATGGCAATGAGGTTTGTACTCTCTCTAGATATCCAAGGGGCGTCTCATAATATAAACGAATATGTGTGTGTATTGCGTTAAACTTTTACTTTTATTCTTTTCACTTTTGCGGCCTTTTTCCATACTAAAAAGGTCACGTTCATTGTCGCTTTGTTTGTATTTAATTTATTTTATTTTACATTTTTTTGCCGCTTGATTTTCCTTGTTTTTGTTCTGCGTGCTCTTTAGTTCTTATGTTATCTTTATTTTCCTATTTCCTCTTTTGGCGACCAATTCGCAAAGCTTTCTTTGTTTCCTATTGCGCTTGCAGGGTTTTATTTGGAACTCCTCCCAGCTTTTGTTTTATGCCTTGTGAAAGCGGATACGACTTCAGCTGGTGCAAGCAATGTGATTAAATGATATAGTACAACTTTTTTTAATGTAAGCTAAGCTCTCTAGAAAGGTGTTTATAAGTTTTCAATAAATTTCCGTTTTATTAACTCTGCTGTCTTTGATTTGTGCTTTCTTTTTTGCAGCGTTTCATGCAATATCTCGCGTCGAGCAACTCAACATTTAATCTCAGCTCCTTTCTGGACAAAGGAACTGTGCAAGGTATAAACACGATTAAATTTCAGACATGCCAAGAAAAAAGTGTTTGAAGAACATCAAAATAATGAACCATGCGAAACATTTGATGCTTTCTAACTGTTACTCATGCTTTCAACAAAACATTTAACTATTTAACTTTATTATAAAAACATAATATTACAAGCTTCTCCCTCTGCTCTTCTCTTTCTCCTTTCACTCATATTTGAATGCTGCGAATTGCGTTTGGCCTATTCATTCGTGTTATTCGTTCTAATGATAACGTTTTGAATAATAATTGTGACTCGACTATCAACTAAATTGCGCTATTTATTCACACACACATTCAAACACATACATACAAAACCATAAAATACATTTATAAAAAATCATTCATAATATATATATATATATTAAAAATAAATAATATATGCAATGCGAATTATGAACCTATACTACAGATGGTGGCATGGGCGTTCCAGGTGGCAGAATGGGTGAGTATTTCCTGGAAAAACTAAAAGTTATCATAATGGCTTACGGTTTTCCCAGCAACAGTAAAAAATACATATTGTTTACTAACTTTTGAGGTCATGGCTGTAAACTAAAACTCAGAAAACCATTTCCTATAAAAAGCGAGACAAATTTTTGACTAACTCTTTTTAACAACAAACATAATCCAATTGTTATATTTGGCGCCCAAAATTGACTGTTTGACAGAAGTTTACA